AGAACAGAGGAGGAGATCAACCAAAGGACTGAAAGCGAGATCGAGAAAAAGAAGAGGGAAGGCGAGCCCTCTAACCCAGATGACAGAAGGAAAGACCCTGCTCGGGAGACGAAGCCAAATCAGTCGTTCCGAGCTCCCTTAGCAGCTCGGGCGGACTACACACCCTTGAACACGAAGCGGGCTGAGATCTTAATGACGATCAAAGACGCCCCGTATGTGAAGTGGCCACCTCGTCTGAAGGGGGCACCTCAGGCTCCCCAGGAGGCTCCGTCCTCAGTACCTCGGGCTCTGCCACCCGGGAAGGATCGGCACGAACTCGCTTAGCAGCTCGCTTCTTCCGCTTCATGCCAACAAACAAGTTTGCACTTCGCGTCTTGTCTGCCTCCATAACACCTACAAAAAGGAGTTTGGCGTTAGAAGACGGGAATAAAAGCAGAAACAAAAGTATCTTTATCTGAGCAAGAAACCAACCCAAACTCAGATCGGTCTGAATGAGTTTATCCTTCGTTAGATAGGCTTCACATTTGAGCCCTTGCCGGGCCCAGTCTTGGAGGCCCTTCACCGTGTCTTCATCCAATACGACACCGGGGTCAGGAGCGGCCAAACCCCACTCAATAGGAAACGGCCACCCCGCAGCACTTCGAACCACGAAGTAGTCCCGCTTCCATGCCGGGACCTTGTTTGGAAGGTCGTGTAAAAGCTTGAAGCTCGGGCGAGGTGACAAGTAGTACGCCCTCCTACGCCTGGGCAGGGGACCCGCCTGTTTTTTGAGCATGAGGATAGCTGAAAAGACTTCCAGGTCTAAAGGAAGGCAGTGCTCGCAGCACAGGGAGATAGTCCCAACAAGGTTACGAACAGAGTTCGGGTGGAGCTGACCTATAGTAACGCCGAAGTGGTTCATGACTTCGACGATAAGAGGATGAAAGGGAAGGCGCAGCCCGGCAACAAGCTGCTCCTGGAATATAACGATCTCATCTGGACCGTGTTCCCAAGGAAAGTCGCCCGGAGGTACGAAGTAAGTATACTCCCCAGGTAGGTTGTACTGGACAATAAGGGACCAAAGCCTTTCAGGCGTCACAGTGGAAGGTCCGAACTTATCTGGCACCCGACCTCGGCGGGAGGTGGATGCCAAACTACCCGATGTGACTCAGTATACAGGCTCGAACTCGAGCTCTACCTCGGGCCCAGCCTCAGACTCACTAAGGCTGTCGGGGACAGCAGCTCGGTTCGTAGAACCAGCATCGGACCCCCCCAGGAGACTACATAAACTACCCGAACTAGACATCGAAACAAAGGGCTGAGGACTCACCAGGAAAAGCTATCGGACTGCGAACGAGTGACGCAAGCTGACAGGCTTGGACGCGAGCTCAAGGAACAAACACTGAAGGATAACAGAGAAAAGTGACTGGGGTCCCCCCACTATTTAAAGCTATTGGACCCGCGCATCAATGGCCAAGATCGAAACCATCCAACGGCTCCCCGCAAAGTCAGCTGCGCACTCCCCGAAGAAAAGACACTCTGGCGCGCACGTTCAAAAATTTGAAATTGTTTGGCACACACATTTAAAAGTTCGAAAATTTGAAATCATTTGCACGCGTGAGCTACACGCAGACCGAGACTAACCCCTGGTCAAACCAAGCCAACCCCGGTTGAGCTAGGAACACAAGCGGGTCAGACCAGAGAAGTCCCAGACCGAGGCCAGAGTGTCCCGAGGCAAATCCACCTATCATCCCGTGAACTCCCCACGCCGGGTCAAGACCCCGAGCCTAGGGAGTGGGGCGCAATTGATGGAGGAAGATTTGACCCGACCCCTTGGCCATACGACACGTGGAAGCGACCAAGAGTGACCTGGCAGAAACGCTAGCTCGACACGACAGTGGGCCCCACAACCCGAGCTCCGAGGAAAAGTCAGCTCCCCCAAAGGGGAACTTACAACTCGAACTCCGAGCTGAAGAGCCCCGAGCTCCCCAAGGAGGAACCCGAGCTCCCCTTTCAAGGTCCTGAGCCTTACAAGCACAAAAGGCAAAGACCCAAACTGCCCACCCAAGGGCAGTTCGGGCCATACTCTGTCCGAACTCAAGACCACCTCACACACCACTTCGGCACCAAGTCGCCTGACTAAACCGTACTTGACGCCCAAAAAGCCTGTACACGGAGGCGGCGCACCTGACTGATTAGGGGTCCGACACATGACAGCCGCCCCCCAACGGCCACCTGCCACCGCCATCTCAGACGTGGCAGGGACGGTCTCGACAAGGAACAATGGAGGTTATGACACCGAACTAGCAACTGCCAACTGGCGGTGGAGGTTATGACACCCGAACTGGCAACTGGCAGTGGAGGTTATGACACTCGAAATGACCCCCGATCTGGTAGAAGAAGTGACCCGATCTAGTAGAGGTAATGATACACGAACTGACAGGGGTTCGGAAGTAAGCATACAAGGTGACTATAAAGGCTCCCATCTCAGGGGAAAGGAGGTATGTGATTTTTTGTGCTTTCTAGTCTTGGAATCCATTATTTCCTCTTGCCTCCTCGATAACACTAACTTGAGCTTCGGAGTATTCCAACCGAGTTCCTCCCCATAAGTCTCCAATTCCTTTTTGTTTCAGGCAACTCCAGCTCTATATAGGAGGCGAGATAACCGGCGACCAGGAGATGAGAGGAGAGAGAGTATGTGTGTGTCGCCAAATACGATGGAAGTCGTTTTCATGGAGGCAGCGATGAAGTTTCAGGAGAGAGAGTACGAACGTAAATAAATCTATGTATATAAAATCTCTTCACCGTCAGATATGCTTAAAATTGGACGCAGTATTAAGTGGGCCCTATTGGTTGGGTTGGTTTCTACATGTGGAAAGCTTTCCAGCGTCTTTATCGTTGCCACTATTGAAATTTCCCGTTTCATCCATAGTCCACCGCACAGAGCTTGTGCAAAGTACTCTCTAGTCTCTGCAACAGATAACGAGATCAGTTCTAGCTCGCCACCTTTCGAGTTTCGACAGCCATATTAACGAGGAAAAAAATGTAGATTTTTCTTCTCTAGTTTTCTTCTCACACAAACAGAACTTTGGATCGAAAGAGATCAGAAAATATTCTGAACTTTCTTCTGAACAAGCACTCTCTAATTCTTCTTCTTATTCTCTGGAAGAAGGGTTCATGAAGCCATGAAAGGCTTCAACATCCCGGAATTCCTGAGAGCTTCGTTTTTCACGAAGGTCTCAGCTCTCGTTCTCATTTCCTTTGCTCTGTTTTACCTCGGAAGGCACTACTCAGATGGGTACCAACAGCTCATCTTCTTCATCTCCCGCCAGCAAAACCCAGTTATTGCTCAAACCCCATCTGTGGCTCTTTCTCCCCACGCCAACAAAACGTTCAGTCTTGCTTCTATCACACCCAATCAAACTTTAGAGACGACGAATCCCCCTCTGCCACCACCACTGCTACTGACATTGACATTGCCGCCGCCACCACCGCCGGCTGTGGTGGATAAAACGGGGATTTTGGATGAGATTGGAAGATGTCGGAGGAATTTGAGGTAGGTGAATTTGATTCGAAGTTGATTAAGAGTTTGGGCAATTTGAGTCGACAGGATGGGAGGGGGGATGACGGAAATGGTGGCGGCAGCGGAGGAGGTAAGGCTAAGCTTAGGATTGAGAGATTTGAGCTGTGTCTGGAGAGTATGACGGAGTATATCCTTGTTTAGATAACGTAGAGGAGATTCAGAAGTTGAATTTGACAGAGAAAGGGGAGAAGTATGAACGACATTGTCTGCGCGGGACGAAGTGATTTGCTCCTGGAAACATGTCAAGGAAAAAACCGGATCTGATGCTGAGGAAAAATACAGAGACGCAGTGAACAAAGCGAGGGAAAAATATTGCAGAGGCAGAGAACATCAACGGTGGTAATCCTCGATCTCCCTTTCTCTCCCCTTATCTCCGCTACTGTTTGTGTATCGTGAGGTCGAGGAAAATGAATAGTATTTTTCTCATTACAAGGGTAATATGAGGATTAAAAAATATTGTAACGGCGGATTTTAACTGAGGTCTTTATAATTTACCTAAAAAAAGACCAATGATTTTTAAAATCGGATCGGATTAGATGATCGGACCAGAAAAATCGAAAATCAGTCATCCGTTTTTCTCTAAAATCGGATTTTCTCCTATAACCGTTGATTTTTATCAGCGAACCGTTGAACCGGACGATTAATCGTTCGAACAGTCGGACCGTTCGACTTGATAACCAATCCTGACCGATTCGGTTTTAAAAACCATGAAATGACCATTTGCGCACTGGACCCGGAGAGTGCCGAATTGTGGCCGCTGACGGCTCTGTGGTCGTTGAACGCGACGACACCGTAGGTAATAATAATGCCAAAAAGTGAAAAATCGGGTAGGTGGTAATAAATCGGCAAGCCCCCAGCCCACGCCTCACCATCGTTCCATTCCAAAAAGGTAACGTTGCATATTCCAAATCGCTTTCTACACTCTCTCACTCTATTGTATTTGCTTTACTTCACTTACAATGGATTTCCATTTACTTCTTCCTCTTCCTTTTCTCGTATTTTAGTTTTGCTCCGACCCAAGAAAAAGAAAAAAAAACCGAACTTTCTTGATTCTTTGTACTGTAAACCAAACTATAAGAAATTGGATTCCAAAATGGTCATTTAATATAGATTGAACTGTTTACCAGCAATTGAAAATCAAAATTGAACTGGGTCCTTACAATTGTGTTTAGTTCTGGCATTTACATTTTGTTGCACCAATGTGCTTTGTTTTTCTGGCGAGTTTGTAGGGTCCATTCATCTTCTTGTTTCTGGGTTATGCCTAGATTTGATATTTTGGTTGTTTAAATTCTGGGTTTTCCTTTTTTTCTGGCCAGATTAACCGATTAATGGCGGTTTCGGCCTTCAAATCAATGTCTAAGAGAGGAAGCTTGGGAACTCCTTCCACCAACTTAGCTTCTGCGGCAGAAAGTAATTCAGAGAACTTGGGTAAGAAAGTTCTGCATCGAAGGTCCAGAAGTGTGAGCGCGTTCTCGAGAAACTCTCTCGAAACACCCTCTTCGTCACAGTTGCCATCCACGGACAAAGAGGAGTTTTTGAATAAAAGAGATAATCCCCTATTCTGGAGCAGCACATCACCACCTAGAGGTTCAACTGAAACGGAAAATGTTATTGGGATCGCCAAATTCGATTCAAGTGCATCCAGATTGGGTAGACCGGCTTCGAATGTTTCAGATACTAGAAGAGGGAGATCGGTTTCGAGGAACTCCGGTTATGTGAATACGTCGTCCGGTAACCGAAAGGAAGTAGGTCGAAGTTTGTCGAGGGTAGACACGGGAAGACGCCGACGGTCAGCGTCAAGGGGTCGTTATGGGAACTCTGAGGTTTGACCTTCCTTGTTCCATTGAAATTCCTGATCTACAAATAGTTGTTTCTATATATCTTTCGTTATTAGTTTTCATCTTGGCTTAGTTCTGGTCTCGGAGTTCTGGTTCATGACTATATTAAATTGTTGTTAGTTGTATTTACAGAGTGAAGTGGAACAAGATTATAATTTATCATCAAGTATAAAAACAAGAAACAACGGGAATTTGGGTCGTAGCATCGAGAAGAAAGATAATTTAATCACAAATGCTTCTGAATTGTCTGATCAAACAAAGAATATGCAAACATGGTCTAGCCAGCATCCACTTTTGGAGCCTTCTGATGGTTTGATTGTAAGTTTGTTGGAGATCTTGATTCCTTCTTGCTTAGGAAATTATAGAAGAACTTGTGCTATTCAGTGATCCTCATTTTTTTATTCTTACTGATAAAAAAAAACGACTCTCGTTTTTTGTTTTGTTTTTGCTTGTTTCTGTCTTTTACACAGATTCCAAATTGGGAAGATGGAATTTCTACACGTTCATATTCAGAAGCTGAGGAGAAAACAATCAAGGCTGTTTTTGAACAGATGAAGGTAGATACTTTGTTTCTTTGCCCTTGGTTCAGATATAATCACTCAAATAGCAATACATGGCTTAGTGAAACTCCAATCCTGAATTGTAAGATAGTTTTGTCTACTAATTTTTCTTTTCATGGTTTTTGTTTTCACAGAATAATCATATATCCTGATAATTCTCTTATTTTTTATTTGGTTATATTTTAACTTTGTTTTAGTTTCTCAGTCTCTCCAGAGCCCTGCCAGTGATGCTGGTACAAGCGGTATATATGAGACTGTTCGATCAGAAGTGAGACGTGCTATTTCTGAGGTTCAAAATGACCTAGAAAATGTAAGTTTGCATGCTTGAAAGATGTATTACTTTCCTTGACATTTTTATCTTAGTTTGAGAGATGTTTATTTGTTTATGAAAAACTCCAAGCTGCCAAGTTTGTGGGTTGTGTAGCTGTTGAAAACGTACTACATAACAGAGATACACTTTCTGACAAAAAGTAAGAACTGTTGAATTTGTAAATGCCATTTTTATTAGTAAACAAGCAGTTAGAAAAGGAACTTCCCTGTTTCTGAAAGAAACTAAAATTTTAACCTTCAAGCTACAAGGTGTACCATGAAAGTTGCTGGAAAATTCTGACAAAAAAATCATGGAAAATGGATAGAACACCAACAGAATTCATATCATGTCAGCATCAGAAGGTTTTAGTAAATCCATTTTTGTTTGATGAAGGAAAAACTTTACAACATTGATAAATATTGCCTGACTTCTTTTTTTTTTTGATAATTGAAGTATGATTTTATTAGCAAGATATGAGAACTATTACAAGCATCCCAAGGAGAGGCATGAGGTGCGGCCTCTCCTTACAAGAGAAGATTACATTTTAAACACTAGAAAGCAGATTATAAAGCAGCCCAGTACAGATTTTCCCTGTTAACCCTTGTTTGACAAGACAATCAGCCAAAGCATTCGCTGACTGAATTGGGATCTGCTCCTCACATAGCGCGCCTTACACCGACTTCACAGCCACATCCCACCCTGTAATTGGAACATCTCCCCATGAATAATAAATTCAAGGATGGGAGATGTTCCCGATGTGCGGCCAGGACATACTGTGAGGTCGGTGTGAGGTGTGCAGTGTGAGGAGCAGGTCCGGACTCTCGCTGACTTACCCACCCAATGACAGCTAATATTCATGTTTCTTGTTAACCACTTGGCTTTCTTTCTTTCTTTTTTTTTTTTTCCTTTTTTTGATAATTGAAAAGACCACTTAGCTTTCTTTAAGAGATCCCTATAGCACCAAACCACTGAGTCCGAATCTGCCAGCTACCCCACAACAACTTTAGAGTCTCCTTCAATTATTAGATTTTCCAGACCCAACTGATTTGCAATTTGAATACCTACTAATAGTTCATCCTAATAGTCTCCTAAACCCACTGGATCAGAGAATAAGGCTAAAATGTTGCAATCTTATCTCTCACTACTCCTATTCTAGAAGGTCTTGTGTTACCCTGACTACTTCCATTAAAATTCAACTTTACACTTCCGTCAGGAGGAGGAACCCACTCTGCATAGACCCTATCCATTCTGGAAGTGCCAACTGCCATAGCTGATCAACTCCTCCAGAGCTTATCAAAGGAAAAGGATTGGAAGGAATCCATAGCTCTCAACCAATATATTGTTCTTGTCAAGATGCAATCCTTGACAATTAATAGACTTATTTCTTTTTCTTGAAAAATTCTTGCATTCCTTTCTTCCCAAATTGTCCAGAGGGCAGCTGCTCTAATACATTTCCATATGCTCCTCCCTCTTTTAGTGGGCCACACAAAAAAGGATGGATTGAACAGTTGATTTACATTTGTAGGTGAGTTCCACCTACACCCAAACAAAGCAAAAATCCAATTCCAAATAGTTGCAACAAAGGAGCAGAATATTAGTAAGCGCAAACAATCTTCACCATTAGCTTTGCAAAGAAAACTCCAGTTAGGAGACAAACACATAAAAAACCTTTTCTTCTACAAACGGTCTAAGGTATTAATTTTTCCAAAAAAAAAAAAAAACTAGCAAAACACCACAATTTTAGAGGGAACATGCCTAGTCCAAACCTCCTTAACCGAAAAAAACCCTTTGACCAGAAAAAGAACAAAAGGTCTTAAAGAAAGAAGCATAGGAGAAGGAACCTTTTGGATGGGGGATCCAAATCCGACTATCCAGTTGAGGGGTCCAAACAGACATTACCAAGAAGAAGTAAAAGGTCCGAGACATACTCAAGTTCATTGTCCCTTAAACCTCTTCAAAACCCAAAATTCCAATTTAAAGACAGAGGGAGGACAGGAGAGTGGAGCAAGTTAGAAACAACCTTCTTCTTAAACAAGGAATGGAGTAAAGAGAGGGAAAGAGGTCCTTGAGAGGTGAATTACCCATCCAAATATCTTCCCAAAAGAAAACAGAATTACTAGAGCGAACATCATACTTGACAAAATTCAGAAAAAGAGGAAGAATGCCACGAATTGCTTTCCAAGGTGTAGACAAAGTAGCCCGGTGTGATACTCTAGCATCCCAACCATTTTCCAAAGACCCATGCATACTAGCTATCACCTCATGCGCAAGTCTCTCTCTCTCCAACGGCCATTTCTGTAGCCACTTCCCGAATAGAGATACATTCTTAAGGACTAAATTGTCTATTCCCAGTCCACCTTCTTTCTTGCTCCTGCACACTAATTCCCACCTTATTAAATGGTCCTTTTTCTCTTCCCCTAGTTCCCAAAGAAAGTCCCCCATCAGTCTCTCTGGCTTCTTGGCCTCCCTAGCAGGAATTCTAAACTCTGAGAGGTAATAAATCAAAAAATTAACAAAGTTACTCTACCCCCCTAGAGAGATAATTCTTTTTTCAAGTCACCAGCCGCTTTTCAAACTTTTCCAAATTTTTTTTTGATAGATCAAACTTTTCCATTTTTTCTTTTGATAGAAAAAACTTTTCAAAAATTGGAGTCAAAAAACAGATCTCCTAGGCCTATGTAGGACATAGGCCCGGAAGTAGGACAATCTAAACACTTTGCACAGATTCAATATTAATACCCATAACACAACTTTTATCCAAGTTTTATCTTCAAATTGGATAACTCTCAGTGTTTTATCAAGCCTTTTAGGTTGCTCACCTTACTCAAATCACCCCTTCATAGAAAATTATAATGTCATTAGCAAACTGGAGATGGGTTATCAGAACTATATTCCTGCCTATCCTCAAATCCTTCATCACATCTTCCCTATCAGCTTTTGTGATTGATCTACTAAAAATATCAGCTACAAGGGTGAACATAAAGGGCGATAAAGGGTCTCCTTGCCTTAGACCTCTATAAACTAGAAAGAAATCCTTGACCACACTATTGACCAACACTGAAAAATGATAGGAACTAACACAACCCTTCACCCAATTACACTACCTTTCTCCAAAACCACAACTCCTTAGTACCTCTACTAGGAAGTTCTAATCCACCAAGTCATAAGCCTTTTCTAGGTCCAACTTACAGAAAAAACCCTGTTGGCCAGACCTCCTATTTCCTCCACTCATTCATTGGCTAATAAAAACTGATCAGTTATTTGTCTCCCTTGCACAAAGGCTCCTTGGGCTTGACTAATAAAAGAGGGCATAACTTCTCTTTTCCTCAAAGAAACACCTTAGCTGAAATTTTGTAGATACTAGTCACTAAAAAAAAAAAAAAAACTAATAGGCCTGAAATCTTTAGGGTGTTTCACATTTACCTTCTTAGGGATTAATGCTATGAAGGTGTCATTGACTCTAGGGCTGACTATGTGCTAACCTTCAATCTCCTTAAATACCTTAAATAAATCTTCTTTCACCACATCCCAATAATCCTGATAAAACTGCTTGTCTAATCTCTTCTTGGTTTACTGTTCTCTTTCCTGCTGGTTGACACATGAAATATGGGGTTTTAACTTCCTTCTTCTTAGACTTTGGCCCCACATTCTGAACTCTGTTGACAATCATACTCCCAATACCTATTGAATGCAACCATGTAAGACCATGGGGAACAACATTGAAATTGCCTACATTGGATATGAACTGCCACCCTAATGGAAATAGAGTGAATATCCTTCTTCTCATAATGAGTTTGGTGTCAGAAGATTCTGTACTTTCTTCCTCCACAGATACTTCATAGAATGATAGTAAAGAAGAATCTCAATTAAATGTCACAAAGCATGGGAAGCAGGGCTGACAAGAAGAGATGCTTCATCATCTCTTTGAAAATATACCAGTGCTACATACCATGTCTTTCTTCTTTGTCATATGGGATTCAAGGAAAGGATATAATTAAGTCCTAGGATGATCTTTTGTTCATGAGGATTTGTCTCTAAAGGATAGAGAGAATAGTCAACCTGAGTACATTGTTATGGAACTTGATAGTTACTCCTTGAGTGGATGGTCAATTGATTCTTAAAGAAACAAGTTTCATACTTTAGCGAGATATTGTAGGACCTTATATACAGATTTAGATTCCCTTTAATTGTGACTCCTCTAGATATGAGCTTCTCAAAAACCTGCAAAATTTACAAACAGGAATGATGAAAATGCTGATAGAATCTTTCAAGAGAACAAGAAATAAGAATGGAAAAAGAAGCTTCTGAGGCTCATACATGATTCCGGTTTCATGAAAGATTCTTTTGATGAGTAATTGAAAATGCTTTTTGAAGATACCAAGTGAAAGTGACTGAAATCTTCTGGCACTAAAATTGTATCCACCAAGTTGAGTAAAAAAAATATTATTTAAAATCTACTAATACTGATATGAATCAAGAATATATGCAAATTACAAGGCAAGTTATTTCTAATTTTAATTTTTTATTATTAGTAACTAAAACTTATTTTTCCTTTCTCCAGTTTCAAATATGTTGGCATTTCCAAGGAAATTTGTTGTTATAGGGTAATATGAAACAAATTATACACTTTTGCATATGATATTATTTAAGGAGATGCATAATGCATTATATCAATCCAGTTATAAACTTCAATTTATTTTCTGGTAACACATATATACTTTTTTATTACTTATTTTCTGTTTTTCTTCCATGCTTCTTATAAACCAGGCTATCAGGAGGAAGAATCCTTCCATTATTGGAACAACCAATATTGCTGATATACCTCCAGAGTTGGTCAATCCTGATGCAGTTGAATTAGTTTCAGACATCAGAAGGGAATATGCTAGAAAGCTTGAGGAGGTAACTTTGCATTACCTCCAACTTTTAGCAGCAGACTGAAATAGAATGGTATAAGGATTTGTGTAGTGATGACTGTAGTCCAACTCTAGTGTTAAGAAATACTTGAATGATAATTGAGCTTATTATTAGGCAAAATTTCAGAGCATTGTTTACACTTTACATATTGTCTTGTGTAAAGAGGATCAAACTCCAAGTGATGTTACATGAATTCAGGTACAGATATGGGAAATATGCCTGTTTCAGGAGTCATTATCTCTCTGACCCCAAATTCTGTGATACAGGGCCACAACTGACCTGTGAACTTTGGCCAAAATCATCATATTATATGGAAAAAATTTCCAATCATGTAAGTGTTGAGAGAACTGTTTTTATGTTAAGTCTTGGGAGGCAGGGTAATCTAGTAATTACCAAAAGATAATAAGGGCACTCCAGTCCCAAAATTATCATAAACAGGGGCATTATTCAACTTCCACTTACTTTATATATATATATATATAGAGAGAGAGAGAGAGAGAGAGAGATTAGACTCTAATCATCTCTTCTAAGAGAGGTTTGGCTGTTTTCTCTTAGCCCTAATCTCTCTTTCTCTTCTCTCCCTCGTCTCTCTCTTCTTTTTTTTTTTATCAATCTCTTCTCTCTCTTCTTCCTGGTCTATACTAATACAGCTCTGTTACATGGTATCAGAGCAGGGAGATTGGGGTATCTCGTTCTTTCTACTCCATCTTATTCCCTTTGAACTGCTCTAGAAGTTACTTTTGTGGCCAACTAAACCCTAGTTCTCCTGATCGACCTAGGGTTTTCTCACTTTCTGTTTACTAAGTGATCTGTGATGGGTCTAACCATCACAGTTGGTGGTGCAAGTGATGTGTGAGATGAAAACCCTCTAGTGGGATCATTTCAAGAGGGAGCTGTGATGAATCTGTGTGAAGACATCGATTCAGCAGTGATTAAATGAGCAAAACAGGTGAGGTACTGAAGTGACTTGTGATAGTAGATATTGCGAATGAAGGAGTGAAGTGATCAACCCAGCAAAGTGATAGATACAGGTGTAAGGGTGTGCGTAAACTTCTTAATATTCAGTTTGTGAATCTGTGATTTTCTAGAATTATTTCAGAATTGAATTGTTATTGATTTCATAATTTTCGAGTTGAGTGAAGGCCCTCATTAGGTTTTTCACATCTGTTATTGTGAAAGATACGGATTCAAAACAATCTATAGTTGTTACACCAGACTTTATTTCTGTTCAAATGACCAATATTAAGCTGAATCCTGAATGGGAGTGGTAATAACTATGCAATTTGGGCTAAATCTGTAGAAGTACGCCTTACGGCTAGAAAGAAGCTGAAGTTTATAGCTGAAAAGAAACCTGCGGCTAACAGTGACAACTATTCTGATTGGATTCAAGAAAATGCCCAAATAGAAAACTTGGTTATGGAATTCAATGGAACCTAAAATTAGTAGTCCACTGATATTTTATATACAACTAAACAGATATGGGATCAAGCAAAAAGAATGTATTCAGGTAGCAATAATGTGACCTGGATTTATCAGTTATTTTAGTCATTCTTTAATCTTCAACAAGGTGACAAGTCTCTTGAATAGTACTATTCAGATATGGTGGGCCTTTGTGAGGAGTTGAATATGTACCAACCACTCTCTAGTGACATTGCTGTTCTAGAAAAGCAAAGGACGGAACTTTGTGTCACTAAGTTTTTATCTGGGATTAAAGCTGAATATGAATCAGTTGATCTCATAACTTGAGTAGTCCAGAGTTACCAGATTTGGAGGATGTGTTTTCTTGTCTTCAAAGAGCCAAACTGTCTGAGAGCACATCTATGATTGATTGTGCAGCATTTACTGTTACTGGAAGTGGAGGTAGAGGAAGAAGAGGTACTTTTATGGGTGACGAAGTGGTAGCCAAGGACAGCATAGACAGCATGGGGGTAGAGGTGATCTTGGTTCTAGAGGTGGTTGTGGACATGGTAGAACCACATCAACCAGATTCTATACACATTGTGGGTTAGAGGGCCATACTATTGGATATTGTAGAGATTTATATTGTAGGCTGTTGAAGAACAAAGGGAGTTATGCTAATCAAGTGTCCTACCATGGTGAAGAGTCCATTACTGCTCAAGTGTCGGCTCCAAACAATCGACCGGAAAGTGAAACTATAGCCATTTCCAAGGAAGATTACAATCCTTTGATAGCTTCTACTGTACCATCTCATGCTTCCACTGCTACTCTTGCTCAGACATCAGGTATTGGTTCCACCTGCTTCCTCTCCCCCTCATCTCCATGGGTCATTAACTCTGGAGCAACTGATCACATGACAGGTACTTCAACTAACTTCCCCCAATTTAACCCTTTACCTTCATCCTCTCGGTTTGTTACTCTTACTAAAGGTGCTACATCCCAGGTATCTGGGGTTGGCACAGTTAACCCAACACCACAACTTCTCATTTCTTCTGTTTTACATGTTCCTCAATTTTTGTTTAACCTTATGTTTGTGAGTAAACTTACTAAATCACTAAGAGGTAGATTGGTGGAGGAGTTGAGTCTAGTGGATTATACTATCTTCAAGGTAATTTGGGAAGTGCAACATTTCAGTCCTCATCTACTGGTGATTCTTTATTTTAGCTACATTGCCAACTGAGTCATCCTTCAGTGCAAAGTTTACGTGTCTTGTTTTTGTCTCTTTTGTCTGATGCCACCATTGATTGTGATGCATGTCAGCTCAACAAACATCATCGCGTTCCGTTTCCTCCTCGGAGCATTGGTCGTGTGTCCAAACCATTCCAGTTAGTTCATTCTGATATTTGGGATTCGTGTCCAATAGTGACATATTTGAGGTTCGAGTATTTTGTCACTTTAGTAGATGACTTTTCGAGAGTAGCTTGGTTGTATTTGTTGAAAGGCAAACCAAAGTTATTTTCTGTATTCAAGTCATTTTTTATGGAAATAAAAATCCAATTTGGCTTCAATGTTTGTGTTTTGCAATATGATAATGCAAAATAATGTCTTCTCCTTTTTCCAGTTTTCTTGATGAACATGGTATCTGACATCAAACTACATGTGTTTCCGCACCTCAATAGTATGGTGTGGCTGAACATAAAAATCATCATTTATTGGAAATCGCATGAGCATTACTAATTCAGATGAATGTTCCTAAAATCTATTGGAGTGATTCTATTCTCACAGTTTGTTATCTTATCAATCGGATGTCATCCTCTGTATTGTAGAATCAGATTCCTTACTCTTTTTTCTTTCCTAACCTCTATTTCCTCTTCCTCTTCGTGTCTTGGATGTGTTTGCTTTGCTCATCTTGTTGGTCATTAGATGGACAGACTTGAACCTTGGGCTGTTAAATGTGTTTTCTTGGGTTACTCTAGAACACAAAAGGGATACAAATGCTACAGTCCTTTGCTTCGTCGTCATATCATAAGTGCAAATGTCACATTCCATGAGTATATTCCCTACTTTTCTTCTCCTAATGATTCATTCATGTATTCACTCATGATGATCCTCCTCTTCCTGTTCATATTCCTTCATATATTCAAGCTCCTATTCTTGTCCCTCTTCCTCCCAAACCACCTCTTTAGCAGGTTTATCTTAAAAGGAGAGCAACAACTCAGCCTTTACCACCATTTGCCTTGCCGTCTACTGATCCTGATGCTGTAATGCCAACACCTTTGCCTTCAGATATTGATTTACCTATTTCTCTCTAGAAGGGTAAGGTCTCTTGTACTGCACATCCTATTACTACCTTTGTTTCCTATCGATCTCTATCACCTATAACTCGTACATTTGTCACATCTCTTTCCATAATATCTATTCCTAAGTTTGTACAAGAGGCCTTATCTGATCTTGGGTGGAGGACAACTATGGAAGAAGAGATGTTAGCTTTACGTTAGAATGGTACTTGGGAATTGGTTCCAATTCCAGATGGTAAGAAAACTATTGGTTGTAGGTGGTCTATACTGTGAAGTTTTAGCCTGATGGGATAGTTGAGAGGCTTAAGGCTCGTCGCCAAGGTTTTCACTCAAACCTATGGCATTGATTTTGATTAGGGGTGGATCCGTGGAAACAAATTGAGCTTTTCACGAGCTATTCGAGCTCAACTCATGAAAAGATCGACCTGGCTCAGTTTAAATTGAGCTTCGAGCCGAGCTTGAGCCTGATATATAGGCTCATTTACTAATTGAGTCGAGCTTGAGCCTAGTAAAGCTTGGCTCATATATATATATATATATATGAGCTAATATTTTTATTTTTTATATGTATGATAACAAATAATTTTTCTATATTTATTTTTTATTTTTCATAAGAATCTTGGCTCATAGTCAAGCCGAATTTGAACTCAAGTTTCTAGCTTGAATCGAGCTCGAGCCTAACATTGTTTTGGCTGGCAAAATAGCTTGGTATTCGGCTTGGCTCGGCTCGAATCCATCCCTAATTTTGATGAAACCTTTCCAAGATTACATCTGTGCAAACAATTATATCCTTGGCTGCTATTCATCATTGGCCATTATATCAACTTGATGTTAAAAATGCTTTCCTTCCTGGTGAACTTGTTGAAGAAGTGTATATGGAGCAACCACTTGGGTTTGTTGTTCAAGGGGAGTGTTAGGAATGGTTTGTAAGCTAAAGAAGGCACTATATGGGTTGAAATAATCTCCTTGAGCTTGGTTTGGTAAGTTTAGTGATGCAGTTATTGAATTTGATTTGCATAGATGTCAGACTGGTTATTTGGTGTTTAGTAACACTTCAGATGCATATTGTACTATTCTTGTGGTCTATGTGGATGATATTGTAATAACAGGGAGTGACTCACAAGGGATTAGCAAGTTGAAGATGTTCCTGCAAGAGAGGTTTCACACTAAGGATCTGGGCAAACTTCGGTATTTCCTTGGGATAGAGGTTATGAGAACAACCATACAGATTTTATTGTCACGATGTAAGTATACTCTAGATTTGCTTGAGGAGACAGGTATGTTGGGATGCAAACCAGCTACTACAATGGATCCCAACTCTAAAGTATTCTCAGATCAAGGGGAATTTGTTGATGATCCTAGTCAATATAGAAGGCTAGTTGGGAAACTGAACTATTTGACCATCACATGCATCACACGCCAGATATCTCTTTTGCTGTTGGAGCTGTCAGTCAGTTTATGAGTTCTCCTCATATCCTTCATCTTGAGGCAGTTTTCAGAATTCTACGGTACCTTATGGCATCACTGGACATGGGAGTAATCTACAGAAATCATAGACATTTGAGTATATCAGGTTTTACAGATGCAGATTGGGCTGGATCACCTATGGACAGGAGATATACCACAGGATATTGTACCTTCTTAGGTGGAAATTTAATTTCTTGGAAAAGTAAGAAACAAAGTGTGGTAGCAAAGTCTAATGCTGACGCTAAATATCAAGTTGAGTCGGGCAACAGAGGAGTTAGTGTGGCTCAAGAATCTTCTTCAAGAAGTAGTAGGGATTCCTGTAAAACTTCCCATGCACTTGCATTGTGATAATCAGACAACCATTCATATTGCCTCTAATCCGGTATTTCATGAGAGGACAAAGCACATTGAAGTAGATTATCATTTTGTAAGGGAAAAGGTTCAAAATGGTGATATTGATACCATTTGTGAAGACAGGAGATGAACTAGCAATTTTGTGAACTAAAGCTTTACACTCTAATCTTCTCTTCTAAGAGAGGTTCAGCTCTTTTCTCTTAGGCCTAATCTCTCTTTATCTTCTCTCCCTCGTCTCTCTCTTCTTCCTGGTCTGAATACAGTTCTGTTACAGTAAGCAAACTATATCTGATGTTTTAGATGCAATTCCATTTACAGGTGCAAGTTGGGCTTGGTTAAGTTCAACACCAACCCAATCCAAGTTGTTGAACCCCCAACATGGCCTTTTCAGATTGGGTAGGGATTGGGTTGGGTTTGGAATGATCTGATTTCTTTACTTATTTTGCTAAAATGTTCTTTTTCTTTGAGTTAAGATTAGTGGATTAAGGTTTACAATTTTAGCATTATTTTATGTACAAAGATAAAGTTATGTTGTTTTAGGAGTATTATACTTGTATCAGACCAGAAAAGTTTTACCTTCAAATTAAAAAAATTGTTGATGAATGCTTTTCTTTTTTTTTGATGAATGAGAATGATGCTTTTTATTGAATATCCAAACTTGACATGAGATACATATTTTATAAATGAGTATTTTAGTCTATGGTCCTTTTTTTAATTCTTAATTAGTATTATCCATGAGTGGATATTGTTTTCCAACTTGCAGTCACAGGAACGGGCTAGGAAACTTCGTGAAGACCTGGCTGTTGAGGAACATCGTGGGCAAGAACTCAGTAGAATTCTTAAAGAAATACTTCCAGATCCTAAGGTGCCAAACATTCATAAATCACGACCAAGGAGAAGAGTAAGCTCTGATATTCTTGTATACTGAACCAGTTATCTTTTCCAGACAAGCCTTGTAAGATACTTCCCAGTAGGCTTTGGGAAAGCATATGATCCATCTGACCATCCAACCAACCCTTTTTCCCAATGTTTCAAATATCATGTTGATTAAATGTGAGTATCATCTGCTAAGTAGCATTATTTTGGGTGGTGAAAACATTTGGCCAAAGTGAAGTATATTTATCTGATAGCTTCACATTTGGTCATCACATTCTTGAATAAATTGAAAGCTATTGGGTTTATCTTATATTATATGTGCATCTTCAGAGACCAGGAATATCTGACTTGGCTATCATGATTTCTCTTGGCTCCCAGTATGAGTTTGACATGCTTCCCTTCAATCATGAATTACTCACAGAATAGCATCGAGCGTCGAAAGATTTCAAAGCGTCTCACTGAAGAAGCCATGAATTATTTTGATGAGTGTGTATCAATATCAACATTTGATAGTTCTGATTTCTCGTCACCAGAAGACCCACCGCCTGTTGTCACTTCTTCAGTTAGTGATGGTAGATTTTTTGCATGTGGAAGTCCAAGTGCCTCAACCACCTATTGTTCCAATGTTCATCTCAATCACAAGAAGGTACCTATCGCTTAAGTAACTGGTGTTTATTATTCTGTCCTAAACAATCTCAGAAAATGGTGAACTATTTGATTATTTATATGATCCTCTGTTTTTCGTTCTATTCAAGTTTGAGTTATTTAAATTAGAACTATTATAAATATGCATTTGTTTGTAACAGCAAACAGGTAAAAGAAAAATGGGGATGTGTCCCTTGAGGGTCTTCCTGTAAACAATTCTTCTGTTATTTGTAGAAACATGATGTCAAAGCATTTATCTTCCACCAAAATCGTTCAACAACTTTTTCCCCAATATCTGTTTAGTTTTAAGGTCTCATTGTCAGCAATTCTCCTGTTAATTTTTGAATCATAATGCCAGAGAACTTATCTACCACCCATAATAGATATACTCCCCCCCCCCCNCCCCCCCCCATTAAAGAAATTCAATTTGTAAACATGAGAGTTATGGGAAATAGAATAAGTTATTAGCTTTCAATCTATATGATATACAGTCTGTATAGATACAGGTAAGTTGGCAGAAATTTTCATACAGTTTGAAACTTCAGGCAAGCTTGTTGGATATTTCATTCCATATTTCAAAACCATGACCCCAAATTAAAGAGGACAACTCTATTGTTCTTCTATTAATCTTGAAATATATGCTTGCAGGAATCAGCAAATCAAGTTGAATGTACCCCCAGTCATGAGGTATCTGTTTTAACAGCTGGCAGCAGTTCTGAGGAGCCAAAAAATGATCAAGGGAGTTTAGCAGGTATCAGAGAACAAATGGGAACTTTTCGGTTCTCATTTGCTCATGAACCAACAGAAACTCTTGGTCTTCACCATGACATAAGAAATTATGTTAAGAGGTTTGAGAAAGAAATCCACAAAGATACTGGGGAATGTCAAATTGCAAGATCAAGCAGCTATGATGCAGATGACTATAAGTTGCAGGTTTCAGCTGAGAGCTTGTTGTTTGATAAAGTGATTTTTAAGAACAGAATAGAGTCTGGAAGTCTGCTTCTCTGCTTTGGTGGTATAGCAATTTAAATCTACGTGTTTACTTCTACTCATGTAAATCTAAAGGTTGTGGGAAATTTGCTACATGCATGTGAACTTGTTGAGTTGTAAGATTGGGTGGCTTGCGTGTATGTCTGTTATTCCCTTCTATTAAGTAAAAGGAATTAAATTTAAGAGGGGTTTTGTATGCTAATTGGTATACCATACAGCTATCTAAATTTAATTCAAGCTGAAGATAAACTACAAAAATATTAGACTGATTTGAAATGTCTTTTATTCATTTGAAATTTTGTATTCTTGAATTTGAGGGGTGTTCGACATGTATGATTTTGTTTTTGCAGCATCAGCAAAAATACATTAATTTTGCTGATGAAGCGGATTTTTATGTTCGAAAAAATGAAACCAATCATGTTGCTGAATATCCCTTAGGATTGGGGTGTAAATGTGAATTGACATAAACTTCCACTGTCGGTTTGCATTTACACACATTTGTTTCTCATGTAAAAGTGGACTAGTGTAAAATTTCACGCCCAGTTCACTTTTTCAGCTGTTTGTTTGGGATGTAAAGTTTACATTGAAAATCAATGTAAACAACTTTTTTGTTTGACCTTTTCATCTTAAATTGATATAAATGATACATCGATTTTATCGACGTACATATATATTGATTCTCACTTCAAAAATGTCTAATACCCCAGAAAACTTTTAACTGATGAGCTTTTACACAATGGATTTTCCTTAGACTGACTTTTACATGGTGGATTTTTCCACCGCATTCCAAATACAGCCTAGGCCAAATCTACCAAAAAAAGCCATATCTATAGGTGTTAGAGAAACCTAGGTAAAACATGGCAAATCCTATAGTTATAGCAGTTAATACCAAGCTAGATGATTTGATTCATGTTGGAGGGAGATTCGGTTTTAAGGAGAGTGACCAAATAGCATGATTCATCCCTCATTTTCTATGCAATTCTCAGTTCCCAACAACTTTTCTGCAACATTGCTACGAATTGGTTTCGGAAAGCGAACACCGATAAATTCCATTTTACCTTTTTTATTACTATTTTCCAACAATTCATAGCTATAAAGAAGAGAATGATGGATCCCATAACCAAATTTACTATCTAACATCTAGAGTCACTTCTATAAGGCAAAAATTTGCTACAATGGATTAAAAATTTTGCATTCTAAATGCAAGGCCTATGTCACCAGCTATGTAACAACATTTCAGGTTGAAACTACCCTAAATATTCCCACTCATAAGGGTCTAGTTGAAGTGTCTATGACCAAAAAATAAAGATTGAAGAGAAAAACAAGATAACAAGATGAGGAGTTATACTGTGTAAAGCAGTGAAAATCTCATTCAAGCCTTTGAAGGAATTGCCTGAAGATGTGTTATGATTGCTCAAGGAACAATTTTGACCAGAATATAATGATGCCACTTAGGAAGTTCAAAGTATTGGAATTGCAAAGAGCATCTGAGAGGTAATTTTAAGAGTTGTATTATGATACACTTTGGATGGTCATAGATACAGTGGAAAAATTAAGATTTGCATGGATATTCTAGGAAAACCTCAAATAAATCCTAATAAAATATTAATAACACCAAATATGAAATTTAAATGACTAAGCTATATACACATAAGAAATCTATACTTTAATAGTTTTGAAGTGTGAACTATGGGGATACACTTGGTAAATGTTGAAAAATGATGGAAAGTATATCTCAATTCTAAATAAATCAAAATATAATTTTTTGATGGATAAAAAATAAAAATAAATTCTGTCAATATTTATAGTACATAAATTTAGATGATTAACTTTTTAATATTTATTGACATATATCCACTAAGAAGAGAAATTGTAGAAGTTATGGATCAAAATACAAGTAACTAGAGTATGAGGTAGTGGTAGATTTGTTGTGTACCAATCTATAGCCTAGGGTTCAAATCTTCTTATAGTTTTATACCCAAAACAACATAGGTTAGAATAATTAGGATAATTTAATGGCATATGAAAGTTTGAATTCGAAAAATTTCCTAGTTAATGAGAAAGCAATTTTAGGAGTTAAATATGGAAATTAATGAGAGAAAATGTGAGTATAGAGAATGCATTAAAGATTGTAATTCAGCTTGATAGATTGTCTGCACAGCTGATATTCTTTAGGCTCAGTATAGAGAATGCATTGAATTTGAAAAGTTTCCTTAAGCATAGGAGTTAATGAAAGAATAATTTTAGGAGTTAAATATAGAAATTAATGAGAAAAATGTGAAGATAGAGAATGCACTAAAAAAATTGTAATTCAGCTTGATACACTATTTACTCAGCTGATGCATTGCTCTTTGACTCTGTTTCCGAATGAGTGCAAATACAAATATGTTCAATGCAAATGCAAATATAAAGATTAGAAATACAAATTTGGACCATAAACATGGTTTTGCACTGAACATATTTGTATTTGCACTTTTCCTAAACAGAGCCTTATAGCAGAAAAAATAAAAGAATAAAAAAATAAAAAAGAAGCTGATACATTGTTTATATAGGTGAATGGAGTTTTGGCCATTCCACCTGTATCGTGTGCCAGTAACCTGAAAAATAGATACATTTTAGCTGATATATATCGATACTTTGATACTAGTTGGTATCTCTAAGACCTAGTTTATTCGTTTTTCAAGAACCTACTTTCTTGGATAAGTGTATTTACCCATGTTGTTTTTTGTTTAATTTATCCGGGTAAATGTATTTTGCGGGGGCATTCTTTACCATTTTATTTTATTTTTTCATTTACCCTTTATTTGGGAAGCTCAACTTACCGGTATGAGAAGGGTATCACTTATCCCGGAAAAATTAATATTGTCATGGACCCACATGTTTATGAAATAAGAGCATGGATTTATCTTGAAAAACAAGAAAAGTAATTGGTAAACGTTTTTTTTTTTTATGTTGTTTGACAGCTAGGTGCTATTAAATACCATTAGGCACCAAATAAGTTGAACAGTAAATAAACACATTGGTGTTGGGGAAAACATTAAAATGAAACTTTTTTCAACAATTGGTTCTCACACAAATTGAGATAAATATTTATTTAATAAACATTTTACAATGAACTAGTGCCGTTTTTCAAATAAACGGCAACAAAACCAAACACCATCTTAATTAGCCCAACTAAATAAGAATATGGTTTGATAAAGCCAAAATGCTTATGTGGCACTCGTAGTGGTGAAATGGCTCCATAGCACCATGATATTTAATACCCCCTAGTGCTTTTGAGATGATCATTTTACATCCTTTACAAAACAATATTGTAGGATTGACCTTCCAAAATTGCATCTTCTAGTGGTTTGGTTAATTTGTCCCTACCTTGAAGTCTTACCAGGAAAAAGCCATGGACACATACACACAAATCCTTTAACTTTTGGCATTTTTTTATATGAGAACAATTTTTTTTCCCTTTTTTTTTCCATAGGGTTTTACACAACGGGGTAGCCTTCCCCCTAGAGGTGTAAATTGGGTCGTGTCGCCTGTGACCCGACACGACCCGACATGAACTTGGACCGGCCCGATATGACGGTCTGTGGGCCATGTCAGGCCCGATATGATCATGCGGGTTGTGCTGGGCCTGAGGTTTTAGGTCCATGGGCCGACATGGCACGACTAAGCGAGTCGTGCCCTAGCACAACCCATATATATTATTTATATATATTTTATATATATTTATATTATATATATTTTTTATATATTTATATAATATTATATAGTATATAGTATATAGTATATTAATAAAATACATAATTTTTTAAATTTTATTATACTAATTTATTTAATTATTGTATATATAAGCAATTGTATACACAAAATTCATATAAAATTAAAATTTTAAGTTTTTTGTCAATTTTTTTTAAATAAATAGCTTTGGCCCAATGCACGGTCTGACCTGGCCCAAGGCTTGGCCCACGAACCAAGGCCGTGGGCCATGCCGGCCCCCAAATTTTTCATTAGGGAGGGTGGCACGACCCGTAACGGCCCATGGGCTAGCACAATACGGCCTGCACTTTGCACAAGCCGCCTGCAGGCCATGCCATGCTGACCCGACACGACCCACTTTACACCTCTACTTCCCTCAGCCAATGCCCCCAACCTTGGTGTAAGCGGGATTTGATCCCAAGCCTCTACTACAACCAGTAGGAGTAATGGCGTAATTAGGAATTTATTTTCTAGTGGGATCATATATAACTTAGAAAATGCCACCACTTAGAAAGGGAAAACACAATTCACGGCGTTGTCTTTAATTGCTATGTAATTACCAAAATACCCTTTATTCTTTCATTCCTTTCGCATTTCAAAAGGTTGAAAAATACTATTTATTTGTTTTTTTTTTAGCATTTTTAACCACCCAATTCATAATTCAATCAGTCTAAAAGTCAATTAATCTATTAGTCCAAATTGACCCGTCTTATATTTTTTAAACTTACTAGGGTTAATATGGAAAAAATAGGCTGAAATAATACATATTTAATGCTTTTTATGAACTTATGGACCCCACTGAAATACATGTAGCTCTGCCATAAACAAAAGACTAACCAACCAATCAATTTGGCACCTTGCGAGAACTTATGGGCTCCAACCTAATTGGATGAATGTGTTAGGCAAAATGTTCTCATTGCCCATTATTCCACTTAGGCCCGGGTTATTTTTGGGTAAGTTATTTATACGGCTAAGTGTATTTATTCATATTCTTTTATTTTTTAGGTAAATAAAATAATAACCATTTTAGTCAAAAAAAATTATTATCAAAAGGGGCATTTTTGTCCCATCCAAATGTTGGCAATTTTTCCTAAGATGGAAAAGTTAATTTATCCACTTAGGAGATGGGGGTAAATGATACCTAGGAAAATAAACTTTCCTTATCCCCACATAAATCTAATAAAAGAACATAGGTTTCTTGGTCAATAGGATTCACAATTCCATTGACCAACTTTCCCCCCTCTCAAAATCCCAAAAACTAACGCCCCCTTAAGAGTATTGTGGGACAAACACTGTACATTCATGTGAACGTTAACAAACGTGGTGTTACTCATGTATTTGTTTTACCTTTCATCTCATGAGGCTCTCCTTACCCTGCATCTTTATATGTATCAGAGACTAGGGGTGAGCAAAAAAAACCAAAAAATTGAACCAACCAAAACCGAATTGAAAAATCGGTTAATTGAACCGGTTGGTTCGGTGTTTTTAAAAAACTGAAGGTACCGGTTTGGTTTTGGTTAACCAATATAAATAACTGGCGGTTAACCGAATCGACCGGTATACATATATTTTTCTATATTTTATATATATTTATGTTTATTATATATATTTATATATATTATAAATTAATAAATATGCATTATATATAAATATATATTTATAATTTTTATTATATTATATATATATTTATAATATATATTGTAAAAATTAAAAAACCAAAAAATCAACAAACTGAACTGACGGTTAATCGAACCGGTCAACTGGTTAACCGACTGACTTCGATTCCATTTCGATTACTAGTTTTCCAAAAACTGATAGTACTGATTCTATTCAAAAAAACACCCCATGGTTCGGTTAACTGAACCGTGAGCACCCCTATCAGAGATCGAGGTTAAATCAGTCCGACTTGGTTCAAATGCTAGAGATGAGAAAACTGATCACTGCTCACCAACTATAAGAGAACAATTCCCCAATCACCAGAACAAGAGAACTCATCCCTGGTCACTGGAAAACGCCGACCACATGAGAACAATTCCTCGGCCACTAGAGAGCGTTGGCAACGGGATTTTAAAGCAGTGATAATTTCTTTGTTCTTTTTAAATCCATACGTGATAATTGGGGTGCTCATAAGAAAATGAAAAATTGAATTGAACCAAAAAACTGAACCGATTGATTCGATATTTTTGAAAAATCGAAGGACCAATTTAGTTTTAGGTTAGCTTAGAAAAAATCAGTGATTAATTGAACCGACTGGTATATATATTTATATGTATATATTATACATATTTAATATATGTGGCATATTATCTATATATTATATATAAATATATGTATTATATATAAAAATATATACATATATTATATTTATATTATTTATTTATAAATATATTATATATTTATTTATAATATATGTTATAAATATAAAAAACCGAAAAGTTGAAGAAACAAACCAATCAACCGGTTAATTGATGGTATCAGTCGGTTTCTGTCAGACAGATAAAAACCAGTAGAACCGGTTGGATTTCCTGAAGCTGAACCATGAACACCCCTACGTGATAACGATTACAAGAGATCTAATATTTATTTACCAGAGAGCGTTGGAGATGTTTTGGGGGTCGAACAGAAAATCCTGGATCCCCTAATAACAACACTTGAATACTAGTTGTAAAAGAGAAGAAAGAAGTAGTGTTTGGTTTTCAGATTGTTCTAGAAATCAACCCAATTAAGTAACAATGCTCATATAGTTTTCAATTAGAAACATGTTAATTTTTTACATACATCCAAAGTTTTATTAAAATGAAAGCTCTAATTCAATCACTAAGCTACCATATTTTAGAAAATAAGAGAGAAATTGGGGCTGGGTGAAGCATTTCATCGAGCACGTAGGTGAGAAATAACCATGCCATGCTTAATTGGGTCCATTTGGTATAGATTAAACTCCTTATCATCATTCATCTATAGACTATAATTAACATAATATATTCACACATGACACAAATTTATTTAAAAAATAAAAAATAAATAAAAACACACACAAAAAAAAAAGACTTTGCCTTTTGATAAAGTCATGTTTCTAAAAAATATATGGGTGTTTGTCAATATATGATTTTGTTTTCCAAAATCAAACACAACTAGTTGATTCGGCTGGTTGAACCATTTGAACTGTCACCAGTTAGGATTCTGGGTTCAGTTCTGTTTAAATCCGTCAGTTAGTCAAAAACCGTTGATTTGGTCAAAATCATTTGCCCCAGTTGGTTCAACCGTCCACCCAGTCACTGGGTCGCAGGTTGCACACTCAGTGCATGCAAGCTTTCGTAGGTCATAACTGTGCATTCTGATATTTGATTGGGGTGATTTTTTTTTTATTATTTTGGGTAACTTTTCGAAATCTATATATTCCTAGGCGCCTAACGAAAAAAATCCCTTTTTTTGGCATCAAATCACAATTTTTAATATTTTTTTATAAATAAAAAAATTGAAAAACATAAATTAAATATAAAATAATACATATAATATACATAAAACATAATTATATATTACTTATTGATAATATACATATGGTAATTCTTTTTGTTTTAAAAAAATCAAATTATATAAACAACTGTGAATAGCAATCCAAAACGGTTGATAGAACATTTTTGCATCAAGCCAACCAACATTAAAGAACAGCATTAATACACAAGGAAAATGTGTAATACAAATCAGACTATCTGCAGAGGTGGACAAGGAGTGTAGATAGTAGCCATTCATAGGAGGATTGCAATGCAAAGCTTTTGTCACTATACAAATTAAGATCTGTTTGTCAGTTGACAACTTGTCACTTGTATCAATCAAGCAAGACTAGTTCTTAAACAACAGAAAAAAGAAAACCGGATTTGTATTGGTCCATTTATGCCAAACTAGGCACCTAGGCTCTAGCAATCCAGATTCCAGACCCGTGATGGGTATTTTAACTGTTAGTGAATGCTCCACCATGTAATGTTATGTCAACCAAACTCTTTATCATTTGATGGCTGGGTCCCATCAAACGTCTCTCTCCATTTAAACCCTGTAATACAAGAAAGCTGAAGGAACATCAGATGCCTTGGATGGGTCAAGACACCTGGCGCCAATCCGATGGCTAATTTCATCCCTTTTTGACGGTTATGATTACTTGGTCAGGTTGAATTCCATGGTAAAACTTGCATGCTTGCCACGTGGCTAAACCATTAACTGTTTCTCTCTTTTTTCAATTTATTCTCTCCATCTGCACTGCATTCCCTACCTCAGTTTAATTGTGGATTACAAAGAACTAACTATACATGTTAATTAACTTATCTGTAATTATTACATTTTATAAGTTAAATATTGGTATTATATACTATAGAAAGATATAGAAATTGAGAATTTATCAAAAGAATTATAGAAATTAGAAATTGATGGAGAGAGAAAGAGAGATGGGTAGAGAGAGAAAAGTTTAAGATTTCCAAACAAGGGAGGCCAGTAGAGAAGAGGGACTGAGAACCCCATCGCAAGCATGTCCAAAGCCTCTAAACCATAAGCGACCAAGTGTTGCTCTGTTAATGAACTCAGGGTTAATAATTAACTCTTTCAAGCCTCAACCCAGGGTTAAGCACTCCTTAATCGTCAATATAAAGTTTAACTCTCTTCTCTCTCTCTTTCCTCTCTTTTTTTCTGGTTTTTGGTAAACCACAAGTTAGGCTACCAAAAAGAGCAAAGATACCAAAAACAGATAACCTCCCCCTCTTTATTTAACACCCCACACAGAGAGAACCTTATTTCAGTTAAAAAGCAACAGAACCCAAATGAAGAGGTCACCTTCTTCTTCGTGCTCATCCTCAGCTTCATCAACCCAGCCTCCTCCTGCTCCTCCTATCGAGCGAGCTAAAAGCAAGACCAGACACCTTCGGAAGAATGCACAGAAACCTCAGTATTCTAACTGCTCAGGCAGGAGAAGCTCCATTTACAGAGGAGTCACCAGGTACACTAATAATTCCCACAAAAATGGCTTCTTTTTCATTATCTCCGATTGATTTCTGGCTTCTTTTCATCTGGGTTTCCGCTAAATGTCTCTGCATGTTATTTGTTTCTCAATGTTCATCAGACACAGATGGACTGGGAGGTATGAAGCTCATCTCTGGGACAAGAACTCCTGGAATCCGATTCAAAACAAGAAAGGAAGACAAGGTGAGAGAGAAAGCAGACCGCGATCTTCTTTAATAATTGTTTTCTCTTTCTGTCTTCTTTTTTCTTTTTAATCTTTGATCTCTGATGACATTATTTTTATTTCTGTGATCTCTGCAATTCCAACGCTCTGCTTCCGTTTTTGTCGCTGCGTAGTTTATTTGGGTAAGTTTATTCCTACAGCCTGAGCTCTCTCTTCCTTTTCCTCAGTCCTCAGTCCTCAGTCCTCACTGAGAGGGCTTTCTTTTCTAACATGTACCCCATTGGCGCATGTTAGCATGCTCCTCCATTTCTCCCTCTCTGTTTTGAAATGCATGGTGGTTGAACCAATGCAGGAGCTTACGATGATGAAGAAGCTGCTGCTCATACCTACGATCTCGCTGCGCTTAAGTATTGGGGACCTGATACAATCTTGAATTTTCCGGTATTTCTCCATTCTTTTATAGAATCATCTCTTTAAATTATCTAATTTTCCAATTTTTATGTCTGTTTTACCTTAATTTTTTCTGGGTTTAATGCAGTTGAAGACATACGCAGAAGAGCTTGAAGCAATGCAGAGTGTCTCAAAGGAAGAATATTTAGCTAGCCTGAGGCGAAGAAGTAGTGGCTTTGCCAGAGGAGTTTCTAAATATAGAGGTGTTGCTAGGTAAAATCTTCGAATAGTAGTTTAAAATAATAAGATTTCTGGATTTTCCGGCTACCGGTTTCTGACACATCGCCGTGTTCACAGGCACCATCATAACGGACGGTGGGAAGCAAGGATCGGCCGCGTTTTCGGGAACAAATATCTCTACTTGGGAACTTACAGTAATCTCTCTCTCTCTCTCTCGGGGAGTTGGGGGTGATGTCTGCGTTGAGTGTGCCAGAACGGGCCGGGATATGCGTTACTTTTCCGGCGGAGATCATGTTTGTCGTGTAGTGGGATCTGGGATGGTTCACGGCTTCACGTGAGGCATGTGACTGGGGCACTGTGGGGTGCACGTGCACATGCAAACGTGCTCCGAACCATGGTTACCAATTACATGCAACCGTGGCGGAGAACGTTCTGGATCCAGTGGAGGCACATGCTCGTATGAGTTGGATATAAGGATAACCAAAAATTGATCGGACGGCCGAGATTGTTGTAGGGTGAGGGTCCGTCAATCTGTGGGCCTACATTTCGACGCTGGGTCCCTGACTCCCTGTTCTAGTGGTCAACAAAATTAAGAAACTACAAACTAGTATTACGATTTCTCAGTGTCAGAACCTCTACGGGGAACTGGATACTCAGCCAATAGCTGTGGTGTATTGCGATAGGCCTAGTACTACGAGTACAACTGTAGACGATTCAAACTTGAGTTACTAGGGCTGCCATGGCCCCACGCTCGCTTGCTCGGGCCTGGGGAATGGGGAATTTCCGACCATTATTATGTTTCTGTCAGACGGGGCACATCACATAGGCAGTACAAGGTGTGGGCCCCTACGAGGAAGATTCCAATCTACCAGCATTCCTTGCCTCACTCATCCTACTAACCAAAATCAGATTTGAAGGGGAAATTTTTTCTCTCGTGTCGTTTTTCTCTCTGTTTCAGACTCTCAGGATGATCTTGACTGTACAATCAGTGAGCCCCACCGAGGGTCCCACTACCTGACAAAGTACAAGCTTGGATTAGATAATTTCAACATTTCCATTTGTATAATACTTTCTCTTCCCTGAAAGCCTGAACCAGCCCAGATGGAGATGGGTGGCTTTTCAACGCTGGCCATACAAAAAACAATGGTTATCCAACTGTGTTGGCTCTGGACTTCTGGTGGATCTTCTTAGTGGGCCCCACGGATCTGAACACTGTGGGCTGTAATCTTCACCAGGTTGGCCCAATTTAAAACGGACCAGCCCCCGAGCTGTCCATACTTGGACTATTTACTTCACGGACGCACAACACACCACTCTCATCAACTTCCAGCTGGAAATTCATTCAGTGTAGCTCGTAATCTCTTTGACCTTTGACCATAGAAACTATGGCTGTGTTTGGTTTGAAAAAAAAGGGAAATTTGGGCCAAAGTCTAGTCATGTGCGCGACTGTGCGTCTGTGTGCTTGGAGGCCCATAAAATTGGGCCAAATAAGATGGGTCAATTGCGTCCGGTTCATCCTACCCATCCGGTTCGGTTTCAAAGAATGTGGACGCAAAGCTCCGTTTGTGTAAAAGCAGAAGAGTGCAAATGGGCTGAATTGAATCCTAGAAGGAAAGTGCTGTAAACTTTGTATCAGTTTTTTAGGTGTAAAGTTTGCACTGTCAATTGAAGCAACTTAATGAACTGCAAAATTCGTATCCGGTTCAGATTGGCATAGCAAACAAACGGTGCCTAACGGTATGCTTTGTTGTAAAATAGGTACGGAAGAGGAAGCAGCGGCAGCATACGACATTGCAGCCATAGAGTACAGAGGGTTGAACGCGGTGACCAACTTTGATCTCAGCCACTACATAAGATACCCGCAACAAATGCAGCAACAGCAGCAGCAGCAAGAAGTGATCACGTACTTTACTGAGCCACAAGAGGGAGCCTCACCTCAGATCCCCAAGCCGGAGTGGACCATCTCGGCCGGTCATCAACATCATCAGCCCACGACGGTGGACCCCGTGGAAGAAAACGAGTGGAGCCTATGCATAGATTCGGGTCTGAACCCATTGCCAGTTCCCGAAATTGCCCTCGAAAAGCCGAGCGAATTACCGGATTTGTTCACAGGCTGTGGGTTTGAGGACAACATAGACCTTCTATTTGAGGGTGGTTCGAAGGAGAACGGGATGACTTTGGATGGCATTTTGGAGAATAGGGAAGGAATGGAGGGCGAATGGACGTCGGGAGTGGAAGAGGAAGGAGAGGGAGAGGGGTGTGGATTGTCTTGCTCAGCAACCTCGGTTGCTTACTCATATCCTATTAAAATTTATTCATGATATGGGGAGTCTGTGGAGTGTGGGTGGTGGTTGGGGAGAGGGATTGGGATCTGTGCTTGTGATTGTGTCTGTTAATGTGAGGATTGTGATTTGTTAATGAGCATGAAAATGCTCAATGGGATCTTAGGGTTTTCTTCTGATTGTGTTCAATTTTTAAAGGAGATGATGGTGGAATTCTAGGTCAATTTACATTAAAATATACAGAGTCGGGTTTAATTTTTTATGCTGACAGTCAGATTTAATTTGTATTGCTTTGTGTTTGAATCTGTGTGTAAGAGAGAGAGAGAGAGAGTTTGGGCCCTGTTTTGACAACACTGGTTTCTGTTTGTTTGGAATGCATATCTAAACCAAATACAAAGTTTGCAGCCAGTCCAGTTTTGCATACATTTGATTGTAATTGTCATTTGCTTGTATTCTTATACAAAATGTATACTTTTTGTCTGATTTGCACTCATTGATAGCATCTCAAAAACTAATGCAAAATTTGTACTACTTTCTTCCTGGCTTCTATCTCAATTTTCTCTCATATAAAATGGGAATTACATCATCGTGCTTCTTCCTGGCTTCTCTCAATTTTCATAGGTGCAGATCACATGATTTTACTTCTTACAAACAAAAAAAAAAAAGACAAAGTAATTAAATCCTATAATTTACACTCAGCCTATGCATTCTCATGAATTTAAGCTAATGCAAATGTCATTTACACTACAAATAAACAGAGCCTAATGGAAAAGTTGTATTAAGATTGGTCCATTTAGAGTTGGGTCTATGGGTGCTTAAAAAATTAAAAAAAAAAGGAGGATCAATGTACAATTAAGGGGTGTTTAACAATGTGAATGTTGCTTATTTTCACTTGTTTTCAAAATTTTCACATAGCAAAAGCAAAAACAAAAACATGTTCTCTAACCTTGTTTTTTGTTTTGAGAAGGGAAAACAAAGAGGTTGATCAAGTTTCATGTATTTGGTTCGAATTCAACTACTTGCAAGCTACTTGAGCAGCTTGACTCGAGCCGATTATAAATAAATTATTATTAAAATTTATAAATAAATTAATATTAAGTATAATAAAAATACTAAGCATAATATATTAAAAATCATAGATAAATTAATAATATATATGCATGTGTGTATTAACATCAAAAAACCAATGTTTATTTATATTACAAGTACAAATATATTAAAAAATAGTATTTTATTATAAGCTTGTTTAGGCTTATGAGCCACTTGAATCGGGTATTGCAAAGCTTGAACTCAACTTGACCAACTACTCGACTCAACTCAAACTCAGCTACTTCAACCCGAATAGCTCGTGAATGGCTCGGCTCACTTACACCCCTTACTCAAACCAATGAAGTTACACATAGGTTATTTAGACTATATTGCATGCATGGATCTGATAAGTGGAATTCTTCTTTTCACCAACACCACCCTCAAGTTAAGCATGGGAAGACCATGTTCACCTTGAACTAGAGATCTTTAGAGTGGCTAGCAGAGAATCCTTTTGCATGATATTTTCAAGTTGATCATGTATGAAGTGAACATCAAATTCAATATAATATGCTTGCATGCAGTAGTGGAAGATGGGGTTCATAAACAAGTGAATGGCCTCTATATTATGGTTCCAGATGAAGTTCTTTCAACAAGGAGTGTAGCCATAAGAGATCAGAAGCAGCAATATCAAATTGCAATACTTCACTTTCCAAATTCAATTCTTGATCTAGACACCATATAAGACCACAAGGCTATGTTTGGTTTGAAGGAAAAAGGTAGGGAAAGAAAGGAAAAGGTAGGAAAAATTCTACAAACCTTGTATAGACTTTACTACCTTTCCCTACTTTTTCTTTCAAACCAAACATGGCTTAAGAGATTGTATGTTTGAGATAGCCGAGGATCTACTTATGCTGTGTTTGGTTTGAAGGAAAAAAATACCTTTCCCTTTCCCTTTTTCTTTCCCTTCCTTTTCCTTCAAACCAAACATAGCCTTAATGAACGAACAATATGAGGATATCAGTCGTTACATGAATTGATAGGCTTTATTAAGAGAGAATGCAATCCTGGGCATAGTGATGTCCATCTTCATTTTTAAAAGGATGAATGCTGGTAGCAATGGAACTGCATAGTAGCTTTGCATCCTCTAATTTGGCACGTTTAAGCAGATCACCAATATATTTTTGTTGAAGTAGATGAAGCCCGAGGGAAGATATTGATGCTTCAATGCCAGGAAAATATGATAATGGACTTAGGTATATGCATTGCAAAGTGATGGCCCAATAAAGCAATGAGTGTTTCACATTTATCATTTGTTTTTGGGCCCCTAATAATAATAAGATTATCAACATAGACATAACTAAGAAAATAAGTGGGCGGAGTGTCTAATAAATAAGGATGAATCAACTACATAGTTGGTAAACCCTCGTTGTAGTAATAATGGTCCTAATTTATAGAACCAAGCTCATGGAAATGAAAGGTTGATTTGGCTCGGTCTAAACTGAGCTTCGAGTCAAGTTCAAGCCTAATAAAACTCAGTTTGTGAGGTTTGCAAGTTGAAAGCGATAGAGCTTATATATATATATAATTCTTAAATATTTTTGTTTAAATAAAAGTAATTTCTTATATGTATGATTTTTATTTTTTATAGGAAGCTTGGGTCGCATTCGAACACAAGCTGAACTGAGCTCGAAAATATAAACTTTAGAACTGAGTTGAATTTGAGCTCAAATCTCTAATTCGAACTTGAGTTCGAGCTTAATAAAATTTTGGCGAACCGAACTCAAATAGCTAGATATTCAGTTTGACTTGAGCTCGAATCCACCCCTTATTTAAGCCCATAGAAGGACTTCTTTTAAATGGAAAATATGAGGGGGGTTATTTTTGTCTATTAACCCGAGTGGATGGGTCATAAAAATTGCTTAAACAAGTTCCCTAAGTAAGAAGGCATTTTGAATATTGCCAAAGTAGCCAATTTGTAGAAATAGCTATACTAATAAAGATAAACCGTATAGTGCTTGGTTTGACTACTAGACTAAGTCTCAAAGTAGTCCCTCTCATTGATTGACCTTTTGCAACCAATTAATCTATCGACCCATCCAGGCTACGTTTAAAGATAGACCCACTTGCAATCAATGATATTAGATCTAGGTTTGGGAAGAGTAAAACCCATGTATTGTTGCGAGCATTGTTATAATTCATCTTTTTTTTAACCTCAAAATTTACTCCCGATAGGGTGGTCATAATAAAATTTATTAATTTAGAAATAAAAATTTATTGCAAGCTTTTGTCTGCAAATCATCAATGACTATTTGGTTCATTAGTAGACAATCTCACCCTTTTTGATTTAATGACTCGCAAGCATGTTTGGTATCATCAAAACACATTTGGATCTCAACCAACAACTTTGATCAGTGGGGTGCATCAAATATTGATGATAGTGACAAAATTTGTATGGAAAGAGTCCTTGTAGTAGTGGGTTTGGCATTGTTGTGATAGTGGTTTTAGAAGAGAGGCGAGTTGTCTTCTTCTTTGGCTCTTAGGGCAAACAAAAGAGAAGGATTCTAGAACTTGGGGGGCAATTTAATTGCTAGGGGTGCTACCCCTTAGCGGGCGATCAGCTAACCAACCTCATAAGTTAAAGATTCACCGTTTGTCAGAGCTCCTCAAATTCTCGACAGAGTTAAGTGTTGATCGCAAGTATGTCCATCTTACCTGAAAATGATGCGGAAAAGTATGGACAGATCTAATGTAGGTTTCTGAATTCCCCTGTAAATCTATAAACATTCAAAAGGTCAAAAGCCCATACTCTATGTAGTATGCACCCATATCCATCTATAAATTGACATCAATTACGAACTGACACCTACCCCAACTGTACTTTGGGTTTATGAATTCTGACCCATGACATGCCCCGAATCAAGTTGAGAAAAGACATGAAAGCAAATTTTCACAGTGATGTATGGTGGACAAGGGCTTAGGCCGCTAGGTTGTTTCTCATATATCTCATTGTATCTTCTGAAAGAAGTTATCATCTTGTATCTTGAGCAGCAATAAAAGAGAGAGTATGAGAGTATGTGAGCAACAAGTGAAAGAGGGAGCTTTTAGGTGTATTGGGAGCTAGGGTTCTTTAATGTGCTTTGTTTTGTGTTTTTTCTTGTTTGCTTTCTTACTTGCGATCGTTTATAGTTCCTAACTTTGTTCATTCAATGACATTGGTGATCATTGGATTGTCTTCCATTTTTCTTTATTCTTGCATCTAAATGATTTGGTGAGGCAATTTAAGTGGCTAGTTAGTAGCAAGTAGATCTGTTCATGGGCCGGGTATCCCGGCAGGCTGGCCTGGCCTGGCCTGTTATAAGTCAGACTTGTACATAATTTTAGGCCCTGGACTCGGGTCGGGCCTAAAGCACTGGGCCCAACTTTTTTCCTGTTGGGCTCCGGCTTTTTAAAAAAAGCCCAGCCCAAGCCCAAGCCCACCATGATACTATATATATTAAATAATAAAAATATATTTTATTTAATAAAAAATATATACACAATGTTTTTCTTTGTTGTTCTTCTATTTTTTTCCAAGTAATAGTAAGATGCTTATTATTTTTGAGTTTTGAAGGTTTTTAATATAAACAAAACACTTTTTTATTTAATAAAAGAAAAAATCTGTTTTCAAATTTCTGATCAGGCTCAAATTTGGACTCAAGACCTAGGTCCGATGATGGGACCAAACTTGAACTCAGGCCTGAGTATATTCTATAGATACATATACAAAGCCTGGCCCATAAACATGTTTAATAGCAAGTGGTCAGTTGGCGTTAGATTGCTTTTATTGCGAGGTTAAAGGAATATTAGTCTTGGCTGCCCCACACAATTAGGATTGGTTTGTGGTGACAAGTGTTAGTCGATAGGAAGGTTTGGGGAAGTAATATTTAAGGGCAACTGATTGGAAAAAGGAACCCAATTTTCCTACTCACTTTCTCTACCCACATCCGACCTACGCTACACTGCAACCCCACATCTCACAATACAGGATGGCGATGTGTGGCTGCAATTCACGGTGGGTAGAGAATAGTGGGCAGAAAATCCCGTTGGAAAAAGAGGCAAGCTTTTTACCATCAAACTAGTCACGTTGATGATGTACTATATGAGACAACTGTTCACATTCCAGCTGGTCTATGCTAATGATGTTTCTAATCACAAGCTTCAACTTAGTTGCAAAAACTCAGCCCATTATATTTCATCTTGGCTTTACCTTCCCCTTGTATGATTTGAGTCCATTACATTATTTGTTGGGCATTGAAGCCCAGTGTTGTGCATCTTGGGCCCATCTCTCCCAAGTCCCAACCCACGTATCTTCAAAACCTAATGATCAACAATGATTCAAC